TCAATGTAAAGACTAAACTGTTAAACTTGTCCAACTGAAATAACAGGTGTTTAGACATTTTAGCTGTCCAGTTTTTATATAATGTCCACAGATTTCTTTTTTTTTTTTTGCTATTTAGGATTATTTTTCCTCCATTCTTCACTTACTTTTTGTGCTTTATTTGCTTGTTGGTGAGTTTTGCTTCTAGATCTTTCAAAACATTCAGCTCATTTTGACAATTTTGTTTAGTTTGAGCTTCAGTTCAGCTGTTCAGCAGCTTCAGCTTACAGTTTCAGCTATCCAGCATTCAAACAGCCTTTCTGCAAGAAATGCAAATTTTTCTAGTAATGATTGTTTCAGGTGTTGTTGATGTTTTGTGGACGCATGTGTATCTGCTAGTGTTGAAGGTGTTTTAGAGAACAATAGGTTCGCATGACCACTTCCTTCATAGCACCCTCAATAAATAGACTAGCTCCTTCATAGCACCTGCATAAAAAATTTTCACTGGCAGCGAAGGGCTTTACCGATCAGGAAACGGCTGGCAGCCAAGGCCGGATTACAATACGGGCAAACTGGGCACAGGCCCAGGGGTCCACAGCCACAAGGGGGCCCACGCGAGCAGCAGTCATTTTTCTTTTTTTTTTTTTTTTTGTACAGCAGTCTTAACGTTGGAGAAAAAAGCTGACAAGTTATTAAACTTGCGCCCACATTTTCTAAGTTAGCACATGTTTCTTTTAACAACGGTAGTTTTTGCATCTTTACTGCCTGCTTCAGCCCTCTCCCCCTCCCCTTGCGCAGCTGCCGGAAACTCACTGATGCGCCTGCAGCCTCTCAGAGGTCCTGCTGATCTAAAATTCTTCTTCAATAGTGTCTGTTTGTTGCAACCACCAGGTACAAAAACGAACTTGTTTTTTAATTGACTATTTTTCTGTCCTGTCTGTTTATCGTCTTCTTGAATCTCATCTCAATCCTGAAGAAAAACTGCTACCTGGCTTCATATTTTCACCTCATGAATTACCTTTGAACTGCAATTCAAAAAGATCTACTGACTGCAAATATAGCAGAGTGCGCACTGCGCGCCAGCCACACCAGTGCTGAGAAGTCTCCGGAGGATGAAACTGGTGATGCACTGGCTCCGCAGCAGCAAAACGCATCAGACACAAATAAAAGACAGAAAGCATGAAAGGATATGAGCCGACATGAACGATCGCATGTTAAATTTGTGTTTGAGGTGGCAACACTTTGATAATGTTACTGTGGCCGTGCTCAGGACGCATCTGTGTGGAGTGCATCAACGATCAGAGCTCTGCACCTCTCCGCTCTAAATAATCCCCAGAGAGTCCACATAGATAATTTAATATAAGCAGTACCAGGATCGTTTTCGGGCTAAAAAAATTGTCTACAGTCCATCTTCCGTAATGTGTTTGTGGCCCTGCTGATTTTTCTAACTCTACCTGTTACAAATTGTGAAGGAGAACGATCATTTTCACAAATGGCAAAAATAAAAAATGAACTGAGAACAACACAAACTCAACAGCGCCTCAGTGCACTGTCACTGGTGGCTATTGAATCTCAACTTGTCAGAAATCTGGACTTTGATGACATTGTAAATGAATTTAGAAAGGTTTAGAATGGCCAGAAAGCAATTTTTCTGAAGGCAAGAGAGGAGACAAAAAGAGGAGTAAGGAGACAGGAGTCAAGAGGAGGGAGGAAACAGGAGACAGGAGGAGGACGAAGACAGGAGACAAGAGGAAGAAGGAGACAGGAGACAAGAGGAGGAATGAGACAGCACTTTGCGCCCAGGGGCCCCTGCAATGATAATCCAGCCCTGCTGGCAGCGAATGAGTTAAAGTTGAAAAATCTCCAGAAAAAAAAAGTTGTTTCACATGTAAATGATTTACTGTCAGTAAATACAGCTGTAGAATCTGCTGTCTGCACCCGGGCCATCACACTAACATCATTCAGAGTTTCAAGAAGTGTTTATTGGGCACAAGGGGAAACTCTACCTCAGCCAAATCAGAAAGTTAAAGTTCTTTTTACATTTTTGCCACAGGCCAATGCACCAAACCCAGTTTAGGCTGAATCTTACTCCCTTGCATCTAATCCAGTGCATATTATTATGGCTTGGTTAGGTTTGTTATTCAGAGCTGAAGCAATGGATGTTTTTAAATGACTCCGAATCTCAACACAGAAGGGATTTGTAGCCTGGTGAAAGTTTCAGCCATCCAGCCCTTACGAAAAAGAAGTATACTTTAAGTATCTAATTTCAAGTATACTTAAGTGTACAGAAATTTATTTGCATACTTGTTCTTAAAGTTTACTTAGAAGTATACTCCTTGGGACTAAATTGGGCCACTAAACGTATACTTGAAGTATACTACAAGTATACTTCAAAGTAATAATTTAAGTTTATTTGTAGTGTACTTCTGATATAATTGAGTACACTTTTCTCTTTGAAAGTATACTTAAAGTAACCTCACAAGTGTACTTGGAGTGTACTTCTGATATAATTAAGTATACTTTTGTCCTTGAAAGTATATTTAAAGTAACAATATAAGTTCACTTTTTATACAATTGAGTATACTTTTCTTCTTGAATGTACACTTAAAATATACTTTAAGTAATAATATAAGTTTACTTATAGAGTACTTCAGATATAATTGAGTATACTTTTCTCCTTGAAAGTATACTTACAAGTTTACTTGTAGTGTACTTCTGATATAATTGAGTATACTTTTCTCCTTGGAAGTGTACTTAAAAGTAACAATATAAGTTTACTTGTAGTGTACTCCTGATATAGTTGAGTATACTTTTCTAATTGAAAGTATACTTAAAAGTAACAGTATAAGTTTACTTCTAATAAAATTGAGTAAACTTTTGCCCTTGAAAGTATACTTAAAAATAAACTAAGTAACATTATAAGTTTACTTGTAGTGTACTTCTGAAATAATTGAGTATACTTTTCTCTTTGAATGTATACTTAAAATTATACTTAAAGTAATAATGTATGTTTACTTGCAGTGTACTTCTTATATAATTGAGTATACTTACAGTTTTGAAAGTACACTTTACAGTAAACTTGACGTAATATTCTTTTAGTACATTTAAGTATCTCTATTTTTTCTATAAACACATACTGCAAGTATTTAACATCTGCTATTTGCTTACTACCAATACATTTAATTTCCACTATTTACTGATACTTCGTCTTTATGCAGAGAAAAAAAAGTAAATAAAATAGCTAAGTCATTTTGTTTAAATTTATTAAACAGAGAGAATTAGAACAGAACAAAAACAGACCTGTTTACCAGGATTAATCAAAGATGAGAACGCAAACTGTTCTGAACATGTTTAACGCGTTAGTTCTGTCCATTTTGAAAGACTTTAAAAATGCCTTTTAAAAAATCAGTCCATTTTATGGATCCACTTGCTTGGTTGTTGATGCCTTTTTGAAGTTTTCATTGTTGCATTTCTTTCGTATTATTTTTCTTACATCTTGAACGCGCAGAGATGGAAACTTCAACTGAGCATGCCCTAAGAACACACAAAGCAAAAAAATGAACACTTGAACTGTTAGGTGAACTCTGACACCACAAAATCTTAACATTACTGCTGTGAGTCATTTTGTGGACATCAGATTAAGCATGCTTTTAGAATGTGATTGACCACAACTGAGACAATTTTTCATGATTATATTATAAATAATTAATAACAATATGCTCTAACTGTACACCTATGATAAAAAAATTTATTGATTTGCAAACATGCAGTGCAGGATGAGTAAGACCACTGGCAACATCAGAAAAACTTTGGTCAAGGTATCTTGACCAGTGCTTTTCAAACTTTTGCCATTAAGTACCAACACAAAATATTTAAGTACCACCAGGTCTAAATGTAGCTAAAGCCAGATTCAGCTTGGTCTTTAACAGATGAAAAGTAGATTAAATTATGTGAAAACTGGTTGTAAACAAGAGATGCTGACGTTGTACCTCTGCCAAATCCATATGAATGGGACTGATTGTCTTTAATAAATGTTCCCATTTTAAGAACAATGAAATTCCTGATAGTTTTTTTTTCTCCTATTTCAGTTGTTATAAAATATGTGCTTTTGTTTACCATTTAAGGATTGGATGTTGTTTAAAATAAACAGAAAAAAAGTCATGACACTATAGACTAATAGAAACATCAGGTTCACTTAGGCTATAATATTAAGTCACATGCCGACCTTTTGTCCAAAATTAAAGATCGAATAAATAATATTTGAACCGTCTTACAGTAGAAAGCAATCCAGCAAATGTGACAATATTTAAAATGGGCTACAGTCAAAACAATACAACTACTAATGGTTTTTATACCATGTAAAATTTGGAATTTTCATGAGATATTGTCCAGTGCAAGCATTATCTAAATGTAAACTTTAGTCCAAGTATATATATTAGTTTAATATGCAAGTAGAATAGTAGAATTATAAGTATACTTAAAATTTACTTGAAGTATATTTCTGATATGTACAATCTAAATGTTAGTAAACTTTACAAGTATATATTTAAGTATACTTATACATTACTTGGTGAAATATACTTCTGATAGAGTAAAGTACAAGTATAGTCTAAATGTAAGTAAACTTTAATGTAAGTATGTATTAAAGTATACTTAGTAGTATTTTAAAAAATGTACTTGGATAACTATACTTCTGATAAGTACATTGAAAGTAAACTTGACGTATACTGTATTCATTTTTCGTATACTTCAAGTATACTTCAGTGTACTTCTTTTTGGTTAGGGAGGGCCTAGTTAATCAGTGTAGGTTCAGAAAAAAAACGGCATCTGGGATTTGTGAAAAGCATAGGCGTCATTTTAACCGGGGACGCCGGGGACATGTCCCCGGCAAAATTTGTGATGGACAGCTGTCCCCCCCCCCCCCCCCCCCCCCCACACTTTCAAAAAAGCCTGCTGATGAGGATTTTTGTTTTACCAGCTCAGGTCTCATGGGGGGGATTACACACCCACACTTTTCCAGCTGTTTTGCTCACCTCCACACCAGTCTGGTTTCTTTACGTCGCACTCACTGTTTGCCTCATCTCCTTCTTCCCCTCCCTCTTCTGACAGCCGATGTCGGGTTTCCAGGAGAGCAGGAGAGGGAGGGACGGAAGAGCTTGACTGAATTCATAATTTTACATCTTGACATTAGCTGTACAAAGTCTGAGTTTGATAAAGTGAAGAACAACCATTTGCAGTGGTTTATAACTGGCGCGGCACCAGGTTTTCATTTTTGGGTGGGCCACGGTAATTCTGGGCGGACCTTAATAAGCAGTGACTTCAGTGAAGCAGGCAGGTCGCGCCAGAAAATTTCGTTTAAAAAGACGTCATAAATGTTTCCCCCGTCATTTTTATTTCTGAAATATGAAGTAAAAACTCACAATTTAATTTTCATTCATTTGTCATTAACATGTAGTCTACACCCGTGCGTTAAGAGGACCATCTTCCAGTAAAAGCAAAGCTGCAGCCCACCTCTCCAAATGCGTAAAATGTGCATCAGCCGCTAGTTAGGCGCGCCGCGCGCACCATTAGCTACGTCATCCCAGACAAGAGCAGAGCAAATAGAGAAAGAATAGAGGATAATTCTGTCTGGATGTGGACGGAGATTACATTTTACAGCAGCCTGATCATCATTTAAATACATAAACCATCACCTGTCTTCTAGTCCATGCTATCAGCATTATTTTAATTGGTGTGTGTGTGTGTGTGCGTGTGTGTGTGTGTGTGTGTGTGTGTTTTCCACTTCAAACACTGGTCTAACCAACCAGACCAGCGTGTCCAGTAACATATTAATGTTACACTTCATGTAGGCTAGGAACATTTCACCTGCCGTGGCCCGACCGCTTCTGCTCCACATAAACTTTGTGCGTGATCAAATGTCTCTACAGGAGCTTTCTGAGGTGAAGAGGCTATTCTGCCTCAGACTGGATGCGTCATGCGTCTCCATATTAGAGACGGGAACAAGCGCTGTTCAGCCAAAGTTTCATAATTTCATAAAAAGAACATTTTTCCAAGAGACACATCCCTCAGAGAGACCGGGTTTCCAGACCGCTTCAGTGGGAGGAAATCTTATCGCATGCACCGTGGTTCTGCGCTGCGCTGCGAACCCCTCTGCAGATCTTCAGCCCACTGTCCACCATGGGCGCTCCGAGCCACGCTGAACACAGTGTCCAGTATAAAGCTCTGATGTTCTGATTGGAATCAAGTTACCTCTGGGATGTGCATAATGATTAAAATGTCAGCTCATCCATGCGCATCAGTGTGCATCGGGGTAATTCTTTCAAAATAACCAACATCCTTGAGTTTATCCGTCAAAACAAACAGTCAAATGGAAATATCTGTAACCCGCCATTTAACTGTTTTGCCTTCTTGTGAAGATTGTTGCAAAGAGAAACAATTAAACTTGATTAACCCCTGAGCCATGCGCACTATGTACTCCGTGACTGTAAATGAGGGTGAAACGATTTAATCGGATCCTTTTCTTTTCAACATGGTTTAATGTAAAGTTTCATTCAGTACAAACTTTAGTTACACCAGTCTAACGAGACAGAGCCTGGATTTGTATTCTGAACAGTTTAAACATGTTTAAAACGGAGATGTGCGCGACACGTCTAAAATTCGCACCTGCTCCGCTATTATGGAAATTGAACTAACAAGATGAATAACATGAAATAATTTTAGGCACAGACAACATCCCCCACACTTTTGAAAAGCTTGCAACGCGCCTGGTCGCTCGTGTATGTCAAAGTTATCTTTCATAAGAAGATAATCAATAAAACGATTTATATAAAATGGATCCAGAAGTTGTAGCCCGTCTCTGCCTACAATTTTTGGTATTTTTCACCCTGTTGATGGTTTTACTGAGCAGATGCCCCTTTTGTCATACGTTTCTTTTTAAAACGCTGCGAGCACAAGCGTGATGCGTCTACCCGGTCTCACAGTAAGACCGGGTTGGAACTGTTCAGGTTTACGCAGACAATCTTTACATTTAGAATTAGCATACAGATGTAAAATTTATGCAGTAAAATAGAAAGCATTTTTATTTAAATATCCATTCATTATTTTACAAGCACAGAGAGCCGCATCAGATGGATGGAAGAGCCGCATGCGGCTCCAGAACCACGGGGTGCCGACCCCTGTGCTAGCCTACTTTATTGTCCCCAGCAATTTTTAAACCCCACTCAAGTGTATGGTTATTGTCCCCAACAATTCTGAAAACAAACTGACGCTCTTGGTGAAAAGGATCTGGGTGCAAACTGGTAAACCTTTTGGTACTCACTGGTGTGTCTACGGACCACCTGTCTGCCTTCTTTCCAAAGCATGGTGCATTATCTTTTGCTTCCCATTTTGAAACTAAAACAAGAAACTAAAATATTTTCTGCCTCCACTAGTCTACACATTTCTGTAATCAGAAGGTGTAACTTCATTGATGCTCTAACTGCAACTTATTTTCTTGAAACTTGAATTATCATTTCAGCAAATGAGGGTGCAAATCTGCTCATTTAATTACAGCCAACATGCTGAAAGTTTCTGCAGGTCTCCTCACCATAAAGACTGTTATATACCAAATGCTGGCTGGACTCCATCTGGCTGTCCAGGCAGGACCTGCAGGACCGTGGAGAACACTTTTGTCATCTCATCCAGCATACAATTTTATGATTGAATTTTATAATAAAGCTGCAAACAAAATATATGGAGACAAGGTGAAGACATGCGAGAATGACTGAGAACTTCTGTGAAACATTTTTTTGTGATCAAAGCATGAAAGATCTCTTTGGCACTTACGTGAGGAAATGGAGAACTTCATCAGCAGATCAAGAGAACGTAGGAACTCTCATGAACACCTTTAATAAGTGTGTTGTAAGGTAGCTCACAGCTAGCTAGTTGATATTGTAGCGACATGAATGGTCAAATTTGTTACCCAAAGGTCTCACCTCCTCAGCTGGGTCAAGCTTTGCTTCTCTTCGCAGATAATCCATCACAGGAGACACAAAGTCTGCTGCAAACCATCTTTAATCTGACTGCTTTTATCTGACTGCTGTTCCATCCACAAGATGAAGGACACTTCAAGATTTAAAAGAATCATTTTTAATAAACTCTTTTCACTGTATTACAATGTTCATAAGTAATCATTAAGGTTCATTATAAATGTATTTAATTACTGAAATGAATTATTATTCTTTGGTTTATAATAATCATTATTTATGATAATCAGTAATGTTTGATCAGTGACAATAAGGTCAGGTGCACTTATACACATCATGCAGGACAGACATCAGGGTTAAAGGTAACTGCACTCACATGTCTTTGCTCCATAACCAAAGCTTTCTATCTCTGAGAGGGTGTGTCCTGAGGTTTAATAAAACCAAAACTCCTCAGTTCAAGTGCAGTTCTTCAAGCTCACCAGAATCTCTCCATGGCGACGAGAGTCCCAGAGGATAGAGACGGCCGCTCGAAGCCTCCACTAAGCTGTTCTGCCATGCTGATAGAATTGCTCCAACAAGCGCCATCTGCAACCAGCTGACGCAAAACTCCTTCAGAGTTATTGATTTTTGAGACGCAACCAGTTTCATCAGTCGTTGTGACCCGGAGACATCTCAGGACCGATTTGGTCACACTACGGTTCTTCTACCCACCTCGTGCTTGGGGGTTCATCATCCCACCTGACATCTCGGATCCAAAAGGGGGTCTCCTAACTGGGTGAGGTAAACACTTCCGACAGATTGTGTCTGTATGCTGTTCTCTTTAAGAAATAACTTTCTCTCTGATAGAAACCTTCTGAGACCCATTCACACATCCAAACACACACATTTCATTTTAGCTCTCATCCAGACACAGGTTGCTTTTAATACCAAGTTTAATATCAAAGCTGTTATAAATTGTCATTTATGAATTGTCTTTTAAATTGTCATCTTTAAATTGTTAGTGATAAATTCTTAACTTTTTAAACCTGACTCTTTGAAATGAAACACAGAGTGGTGTATATTTGGTCACTGAACGAGCAAAAATTTCTTTAAGTCTACTGATTTAATAAATAAACTTTTGCTATTAATGAAATCTCTTAAATTAAATATTCATCTTTGGATTAAATATAGACCAAGCCAGCTGGTGTATGAACTTCTATCGATTATATAAATATCCGTGGATATCTATGTAAATATAAGTTCATAAGCCAAATTGTTTGATCTTTTTCAGGATCTAACAGAGCTGAATAGCAAACAGCGTTAAATCCTAGTTATGTAGATTATCTACGCTACAATATCTTAACTAGGAATGGGTACCAAATTTTGTACTGTTTAAGGCACCGATCGAGGGCCGATTCATGTGATGTGAAACTGTGCCTTGTTTCGGTATCATAGAGTTTGGTTCCTGTCTTCCATTAACTAGAACTTGTGAGACAGCAATTTGCCAAGATGGATAGCAGCGCAAGAGCATTATCTCATCAGTTGCTACAGGCAAGCTGTAAACAAAGCAGCATGGTAAAAAGAAACCTCTCTAAAGTTTGGGTCCACTTCCCTAAATGCAATGGGGGACCGGGTGATGACGACAACACTGACAATGATCTGAATGAGGCATCATTATCTTAATTAGCTCCAGCAGCTAAACAAACTGTCTAAGATAACGTTAGCTTGATGCTTTTGCCTCCATTGCTATCAGCTGATGGTGCATTTGTGTCCTAATTACTTGGAAATTTGGACTTCCAAAAACAACAAATCAACTGAAAAACAATGACAAAGGGAATAAAGATACACAGTAAATTTAGTTCAGAGCAAAGATGCTTGCTTCAGTTTATTTTTGCAGGTTTTAATACTACAAAGACATACCCATCACACAATGTGTCCAGAAGGAAAAGGAGAGTTGGATTATAGTTTATGAAACACTCCAATAATAAAATACAAACAGTTGTACAATATCAAAGCTTGTTATAGTTTCATTTATAATTTATGATACATGGTCCTAACCATAGTTATTCCAGAGGGAATAGGAGTACATGGAGCTGGGTTTAAAATTTAACATAATTTAGAAACTTTTGTGGTTAAAGGTCCTAATTCAATTCAATTCAAAAATACTTTATTAATCCCAGAGGGAAATTGATCGCTGTAGTTGCTCAGAATAATAATAATCAAGTCATCAAAGAGTTATTGTATATTACAATGGCTGTTGGCAGGAAGGATCGCCAGTAGCGGTCAGTGTTGCAGCGAATCGTGTTAAATGCACTGGAGAAATCAAAGAACAGGACCCTCACATTGCTGCCTGCTGTGTCCAGATGACAGTGGGTTGGTTGATGTCACGAGTTGGGCAGGAGGAAGTTTAGGACCCAAGATGCAGAAACCAGATGAATGAGGCAAAGGTGGAAGACGAAATTAAAATCCTTTATTTAGGAGTAATCCAAGAAGGCAGCGAGCCAAAAATCCAAATAACTAAAACTGGAGATCCAAAAACACTTGAGAACTAGAGACGCTAGAACAGACCTGGGCATTTTACGGCCCGCGGGCCACATCCGGCCCTTTGGTTGACTTTGACCGGCCCGCGTAAGGTTAATTGGAAATTACAAAATAAATGTATTTTCTCATTTTACCTCATGCATGGGCTAAGGCTGCATTGCTTTTATTTTGAAGTTGTTTTTTACGTGCACAATGACGCAATACGTATAGCAACAAGTGCCCGCGGTTGACATGGTGATTGTAGCCTGAGAAATGTCCGCTCATGCAAAAAAAAAAAAAAAAAAAAAAAAAGAAAGATGCCGAATGCAGGATTTTCAACAAAAATTGGACTGCTAAGTATTTTTTTTACTGAAGTCGGAGGTAAAGCCGTGTGTTTGGTTTGCTGGGAGGAGATTGCCGTGTTTAAGGACTACAATTTGAGTCGGCATTACGACAAGAAACACTCGGAAAAATACAAGAACTTGTCTGATGCTGAGAGCTGAGAGGGCACGGACATCCGAAGCTTTGCTTGCAAAGTTGCAAAAGCAGCAAGGCTGTTTTACTAAGCTTCACACATCCAGGGATGCAGCAGCCAGGACCAGCTTTGTGATATCCCACAAAATAGCTAAAAACAGCAAGCCGTTTTCGGAGGGAGAGTTTGTCAAAGAGTGCATGGTGGACTCTGCCGCACTAATATGCCCTGAAAAAAAAGGCGCATTTGAGCAAATCCCGCTGTCCAGGCGAACCGTGACCAGGAGGATCGAGGACATTGCGGGGAACCTGGAGCTTCAGCTGCAACGTGAAGTGGCAAGTTTTGACTTTTTCTCATTAGACGGGAGCTGTGATGTCCGCGACACAGCCCAGCTGCTCGTATTTGTCCGGGGATAACGGACTTCAAGCTCACAGAGGAGCGGGCAGCAATGCGGTGGATGAAAGGGACAACGACAGGGAGTGATGTTTCTACAGAGGTAAATGCGTGCACGGACACTCTGGGATTGAAATGGGAGAGACTGTCAGGTGTCACAACAGACGGTTGTCCAAATCTTAAGCCGGGCGTACACTGTGCGACTTTTTCACTTTTTTGAGCCGATTTTCCAGTCGTGCGAGAAGCCACGACATCGGGGCGAGTTTTGCGCCGAGCGGTCGTGTAGTGTACAGGGGGTTATAGGCGATTAACACCACGTGACCAGCCGCCGATCAGCAGTCGTGAGGTCGCACTCTGGTGTGTTTAATATTTCGCTCGTCCCTCGTGAGGGTATCGCACTGTTGAAGCGGCGCTGCGAGCAGCTGCGACCCAAAAAGTATCAGAACCGCTCACGGCGCATGCGCGCGCAATCCTGCATCAACGCCGGTCGCTCGCTATTTCCCTAATAACACACGCTGTTCGTTTTTGTTTCTACACGTTTTTTTTACTCACAAAGATTGTCAAGAAAGCGTGTTTGTCGTGTTCATGTCAAATTAAACTGATCACAAAACACAGATTTACTTTCTTTATTTCGTTTTCCTCATCCAACCCCCATAAATCCCTGTGTGTCCTCCTGCAGCTCTCCCGAAGGACAACAGGCAAGACAAGACAAAAAACTCTGACGTGTTGAGTAAAAACTGCTATTTTTAGCACATTTTTAGGGCCGACGTGTTGCTACCAGACGTACAGTGTGAGCAGTCAGGTCGCATCCGAGAAATGGGTTGTACAGTGTGAGCACACGACTCGTGAGATCTGCTCTGCGAGGAAGTCGTACACTTTGAGCTGAAGCTGAGTGCTGCGAGTGAAAAAGTCGCACAGTGTACGCCCGGCCGGCTTTACATGGAAAAATGTCGGACTTTTGAAACGCATGCAAGATAAAGTGACAGAAATCGATGCAGATCAAAAATAGGTGTTTTTGCATTGAATTATACACCAACATGTGTTGTGCAAGTCAGTGCTAAAAATCAACCATGTTACTGATGTTGTTACTAAAATAATAAACTTCATCAGGGCGCGGGCAATGAATCACAGACAGTTTGTGGCTCTTTTGGAGGACTCCACACAGCTGTCAGCTGGCTCAGCCTGGGGAAAGTGCTGAAGAGGGTTTGGGACTTGAAAGCAGAGATTCAGGATCTCTGCTGGATTTCTACTCTTCTCTTAAGGAGGACTTTCCAAACCTGAGGAGACATGCTCAGAAGATGTTGGTTCTCTTCGGCTCTACCTACATTTGTGAACAAACATTTTCAATGATGAAGTTTACAAAATCCAGGTATAGATCCTCTCTCACTGATGATCATTTGTCAGCTGTGCTTCGCTTCTCCACCTCAGACATTCAACCTGACTTTGATGCACTCGTTAAAGCCCAGCAGAGACTAGATTTCTCTCACTGAATAAGAAAAAAATCACTTAAAAACACAAAATAAGGTGTTTGGACCACAAATGTAGGCAACTAGCAGTGAACTGGGACACTTTTTTTAAACCTCTTTCTCAAGATCACAGTTCAGTGATTTTATTTTACAGACAATACTGTGTGTCTGTAGAATGCTAAGAACCTCTTTCCAACAATATTTGAAACTCAGAATGTGTTTTGGAGTGAATGTGACTGAAACTGTTAACTAATATAAGTCACAAATGTTTAACAAAAACCAAATGTGCACACTTTGTTTACCATTGCCTTGGGAAATTTGAATAAATCACATTTTTGTAAGACAACCTCACTTTTTCCTTTTTGCTCATTTATAACATATAGTCTACTCTTACCAGCTTGAAGAAACAATGGTATTTACTGCTTTTTATAAAGAAATACCATTAATATTATGCATAATTGACTTCAGCCTTTTGGCCTGGCCCTCCACAATATTTTCTATTTCTCATGTGGCCCCATGGAAAAAATAATTGCCCACCCCTGCGCTAGAAGCTAGAGAGCAAATGAGACGAGACTGACACGAACAATGAACCGACAAAACATAAAGACACAGACAGGGTTTTATACACTGGGGCAGGATGAGAGGGGATGAGCTGCAGGTGTGTGGGGAGAGAAACCTAGTGAACTCAATTACTAATCAGGGAGAGGGCAGTGAGTAGAAGAGGAAGAAAACTAACACGACCTAAGATTAAAGACAACACCTAAAAACAAGAAGAGCAAAATAACTAACTAATAATCTGAGGAAGGAGAACTAAAGAACCGGTGGGGGGGAAATAAACACACTAAAAGAGACTAATAAATGAACAGCTGAAACTAAAGGAAAACACTACAGAAAAGAAAACTACAGGGGCGTGACCAAGGGGGACCACGGGAGCACTGGACCTGGGAGGGGGATACCTGGGGAGGGAAACCTAGAGGGCTGCAGATCTGGGGACAAATGAAGAACACAAGGAGACACATGAGGGAGACGCAGACAAGGACACATGAGGGCGTTAGGACATACAAAAGCAGAGCCTAGAGAGGGATGGAGAACACAAGGAGACACATGAGGGGAGACGCAGATGCAGACCATGACAGTTGAAGCAGCTGGATGATGGCATCTTCAACTCCAACTCCATGGCGATAAGCAAACTGCACTGATATGTTCTAGTTTGCTTATTGAGGTGGACCAACAGGATTCTCTCCAGGACCTTCATGATGTGGGATGTGAGGGCAACCGGTCTGTAGTCATTATTGACTGATTGGCGAGTTTTCTTTGGAACTGGAACAAGGCAGGATGTCTTCCACAGGACTGGAACCTTCTCCTGGGCCCGGCTGAGGTTGAAGAGGTGCTGCAGAATCCCACAGAGCTGCTCTGCACAGGCCTTCAGTACTCTGGGGCTGACACCATCTGGACCTGCAGCCTTGTTCCTGTTCAGTCTCTCCAGCTGCCTCTTCACCTGACTTCTAGAGACAGATAGGTGGGATGGGGAGGTAAATGGAGCAGCAGCATCTCCTGACTTGGTTGAGGACAGATTTATAGATATTGATAGATATCTGATATTGAAGAATTTTGTACAACACTACAATGATAAAATACAAACAGCAGTATGTTATCATGAAATTTATCGCATATGGTTAAATATTGCAAATATATATATATATATATATATATATATATATATATATATTAGACAAGATTCAATTCATTGTTAAACACTCAAAAATATCAAAAATTGGTACCATTACATACCGGTATCGATTCCTAGGTACTGGGAATTGGTACCATATTGGTTCAAATGTAAAAGGTATGCATCCTTAAACTTAACTCAATGTTTGGTTGCCCTTGAGTTTATTTTTTGTCTGTTTGAATGGTTTTATGTGCTGTTCAGCACTTTGGTGAATGGCCCAGATTGTTAAGTGTTTCATAAATTAAGTGTGATGGTGGCATTTTAATCATAAACTATGGTGATATGTGTGACACCTTTGGACTAAAACACACTTCTTTTTGTTGGTCTAGTGCAATCCTCATTTGTATTTATAAAGCAGTGACATAGGTGTTATTATGGTCCCTACCTTTCACTTCATGTAATAAGTGCCCCCCCCCCCCCCCCCCCCCCCCCCCCCAATTCCCCATTCTGTACCTGAGTGTATTGTTTCTCTGAGAGCCCATGTGACGTTCTGAGCAGAGCTCCAGATTGGGTTTCAGCCTGAGGCTTTGGAGTGGCCATGCATCTTGGGAGAGTGAGAATTGGTTCCACTGGGATTTGAGGTCAAACAGGTAACCGTCGACTGGCTCTCCTTCCAATCCTATTGAATTGTGGTAAGAGGAGACAAATATCGTACATAAAAAGATAGAGGGCTCATTTTACCCTCAGTGCTTAGAGCTCCCAGCCTCCCACAGACAGTCCGTCTACCATAGGAATGAATGGATTGTAGCTTTCTGAAGCAATGTCTGACTCAATCACCTTGATATTTGCATGAAAGCTTTAAGTCAGGAATGTGAGGAGTACGGTATTGTAATGAAGTGGTGCTGGTTGCAATAGGACCCAAATGCAGGTGAGCAAGAACAGAAGGTGGACTGGTAGGCAAAATAACAGTTTAATATGAATAATAGGATGGTACAGCAGGAATACAAGACAAGGATCTGACAAAGATGAACACAAAAAGAGGGTTTAAATACACGAGGGTAATAAGGAATGAGGTGCGTAGGATAACAAGGGGCAGGTGGGTCCAATAAACACTTACCAAGGGGAGACAGGACAACACGTCAGAGGGAGAAAAAGCAAATCCAGACAGAACTAGTTAAAAAGTTGCACAGCTAGATGCACACAAATTCAACCAGATTTTAATTAAGTTTAGCTCCTGCATTAGCTTCTAATACATAACAGATGGTAAAGTGCTCGATTCAGAACAGCCAGATCAACTGTACATATTAAGAAAATATAAAACAAACATATGTAGCGTGATGAATTGTCCATTTCTGACCTAAAAGGCTCTGCTCTGTTTTGCTCTGCTCAAAGCAAAACCAGAAGTTTCTGACACAAACCTAATCTGCATGAGATATGGCTCAAGGTCTCACCTCAATGTGTCTTCCTTTCCAGCTCAAGAGAAGAATGAAGACAAAGGACTCTTTCTTTTAATAAATCATAAGAACTCTATTTTTAATAAAGCTTATCAAACAAAGTGTTAGTCAATAATAAAATGTGAACCTATCTGTGAAATGACAATGTTATGATTAGTAAGTTACAATAAGTAATATAACTTTAAATGTTTCCACTAGAGACTGATCCACATAATGTTAAGTCACATGACACATTTCCTTTTCTGATCCAATCAGAATCTTCCAGATCTGACGGAGGCGTGGTTTTGTTGGTGCTTGGTTAATCTGTCCTTTTTTTATTCGACCATAAATCAGAACAAATTATAAAACTATGCCCACGTCATCCTTAATTTCAGTTCAAAGCTTTCTAGAGAAGTTGTCGGAGTGGCCAATCAGTAACTTTCCTCTTCAGCCAAAAGAACCAACGACAAGCTGGATTAAATCTGTTGCTTTTCCACCTGCTGTAAAAGCTGAACCATCTACCCCTTTTTGGGTCTTGCTAGATGCCAATAAAACTGTTGTGACCTGGGAGTATCTCAAGACTGGACTGGTCGGCGGCCGCAGTTGTGCTACAGGCTTCGGCTCCAGAAAGGTCCAAGCTGGACCTCTACACCTCCTGATCTAGACGGGGACTTCCGCTGGGTTTGTAGCTCGACAGAATGGCATCTCGATGTGTGTTATAATCTCAAAACCAAAAGCTTAACGTGAAACATCATCTTCACTCCCATCAGAACTCATCGTTTCTCCGGATTTGCTGGTTCTGAACAACATTCCACACTACACCATCCATCTTGCCTCATTCACACCAAGATCCATGCATCACATAGTGTTTAAAGTTAGTCTAGTTTTAATTTGTTTAGTAATAAATATGTAAACTTTTAAACTTGACTCTCTTTTTTCTCTGAGTTAATACGAAGTGGTTACATAATCCCTGCAATAAAAAGTTCCAATCTTCTGGTTTAAATTATCCAAAGATCCATAAGATTGATTTTATATTTCCTATGGAATCTCGCATTTTATGGTTCATTAAATAACATGTAAATTTAATCGTTACACAGAACAAATCCAGAAACAGATAATCTATAATGAAACAAATTTGACACTACTATCTTTCTGCAGGGCCTGCAGGAAGTGGAGAAGCTCCCCACAGGTCTAAAATGAATTACCATGTTAAAATGGCTTCAGGGTCATCCTAGAAATAATATATTGTTCAGAGATAATCCACACATGCAACCTGATTTAGTCAGACCAATAAATTTGTAATTTAGTTATTCATCTATTCATCCATCTTCTATACCTGCTTATCCACACTGGGTCATAGGGGGCTGGTGCCTATCTCCAGCTGTCCCCAGGCAAGCAGGCGGGGTACACCCTGGACAGGTTGGCAGTCCATCGCAGGGCAACACAGGACAAACAACCATCCACACACACACACACACACTCACACCTAAGGATAGTTTAGACAGACCAATCAACCTAACAGTCATGTTTTTGGACTGTGGGAGGAAGCCGGAGCACACAGAGAGAACCTACACATGCTCAGGTAGAACATGCAAACTCCATGCAGAAAGACCCCATGCTGGGATGTGTACCCAAGACCTTGCTGCAAGGCAACAGCGCTAACCAATGTGCCACAGTGCAGTCCATGCAGTAATTCAAGGTCAAGGTCAAGGTAACTTTATTATTACCCGAAGGTAAATTTGTTTTGCCACGTGACATGAGAATTAGCGCCCAGTTACACACACACTCACAAAATATACACACATACATAAAAATACAAAAAGTATAAAAACAATCCACGAATAAATAGAGATAAAATCAAGTAAAGAAGCCACGCTAGACTCATTTCTTATTGAGAGTTGTTACTGCCTCAGGAATAAAGCTCCTTTTATACCTCTTGGTCCTGCACTTAGGCACAATAAATCTCCGTCCTGATGGCAGGAGGGCAAACTGGGCATGCAGTGGGTGGCCCGTGTCTCTAACAATAGCGTTGGCAATTCTCTCTACCTGCCCACTGTACAGTTGTGCCACACTTTTCACTTGTTTTCCAAGCAGGCGACCCGACCACTTTACTATCCTGTTCAGTGTTTCCTTTTGTTTAAGATTTGCCTGACCAAACCATGAGGCTAAGGAAAAGGATAAAACACTTTCAATAAAAGTCACCATGTAAAGAGTTTCTACTTTTCTATATTCATGTCAAAAAAAATTTTTTTAACAGGACGTGACTGGCAGCTAAACTCGTGAAATAAATTTTGATCACTTCACCCCTACAACCCTAAAAAATAATTAAAACAAGCATCCTCCACTAAAGTGCAATCTGACTGTGCAAAGTAGGGTGGGAGATTTTTTTGTAACTCTTCCATTTAGGTGTAGCTAAATGCTTGAAATTATTAATAATTAGATTTGATTGACAGGTGGCATGAGCATCAGAGCCATGTCAGAGCTAGCGCTAGATGCTAGCTTCGAAGATGGCCTCAGTCTCGGCCTCACGTTACTAGATGTTCGTCCATTTTGACTTTGTCTTCTGTTTTTGTGTTTGGATTTTAATCATGGAATTATTTGGACAAACATGGTAAGCTGTGGTACTGATTGTGACATGAGATCATCCAACAAGTCTCTGCTTCATTTTTATCAGTAAGTAAAATTATTTCTGAACTTTATTTTGCTGGTTGAATGCATTTAACACAACACTGCTTGATCTAACGTGTTGGTGGGACTGCTGGCTGGATAAGTAACTTGAGCGAGTGCCCAGCTTCTCCTGTCTCCCGCCTGGGAACAGATGTTAGAGCAGCCCGCTGGTTTTTTCTTTTCGCGGGGCAGCTGAGACGCAGGGCTTCCCAGCTCTGATGTGGCACTGTAGTCATGCTGCTCACTTGTGGAGCTTGCCTGTGTCAACGTGGCTTCTGGCTTTGTGTCTGCCAGAGTCAGAAGTGTCCACACGGTACGGGTAGCCGAGTCGACATTCCCTTCTCTGGCCGGAAATGTCGACAACAGTGGCCTCGCTGATATTTGACTGCAATGGAACAGAAAAGTCTGACAGCCCCCACTATCCTTGATCAATGTACCTAGTTAAAAATTTGTTACCCAGTAGGCCAAAGGTACCTTCACTTTGAAATAGTTGAACTGCGTTTATCTCACAAAAATGCAGGGGAAAACTCTGTTAGCTTTGGGCTAGCACGTAGCTGATGTCCCACTGATCTCTGACCATGGAGCATGACCTAACGTAAGAGGCCAGGGCACCTGGCTTAGATTGGAGCGATCTGAGACTTTACTTGTTTTTTAACAGTACATATTAGAGCTCCAGAGAGGACTAGCATGACTACACCCTTGCACAAAGCAATGACGCCATGCGGGTTTGTTTCAGGCTTCCCCGGAGCTACCTTTAGCTCCCTGTGTTAGCTAGGCTAAGTTAGCTAGTAGAAGACGAAAAAGAAGAAAATATCATTTCTACAGCGCCTTTCAAGATAAAAATCACGAGGCGCTTCACAAAAACAAAAAATGTAAAAATATAAAAAAGCATTTACAAAAATGTTTAAAAACATATTTAAAATGAGCAAAAAGAGACAATTGTGGTAAAAAATGTTAAGAAAGAGAGAGAGTGAACAGGAAAGAGGGAAATCAGTGGGAGGAAGGTGGAATAGTTGGGGAGAGCAGAATAAAGAGAGAGTGGTGAAGAAGGTCATACAAAAGCCAGCTTGAACAAGTGAGTCTTCAGCTGCTTTTTAAAGGAGACCACTGAGTCCACTGATCTCAGGCTCAGGGGGAGAGAGTTCCAGAGTCTGGGGGCCACAGCAGCAGATGATCTGTCACCTTTGGTCTTTAGTCTGGTGCTGCACAACCAGTAGGCTTTGATCCCTGGACCTTTTTAGTCTGGATTTGACCCCTAGATGCTCCAGATAACGGTGTTTTGCTAGCCTAGAAATCTAAATCAGTTGTAGCAGTAACAAAAGATTTTACTCTTAAGGTCGGTCTGGCCACACTCCATTGTAACCTCAGCAGGTTTTCCATTGGCTTGTACAGTTTTAGGTCAGGCCAATTACAGCGCTCTATGTTTGTAGAGAGACACTGGGCGGGCTTATTACTAGAGCTGTAACGGATAAAAACTACAAAGGTGGCGTTGGTTCAGGAACTATTATTTCAATTAAGGCTGTTCTGCCTAAAACCATGAGTTGTGTGGTGCCCTCTTGTGAAATTTCTGCACAGCATTTTATTCTTAGTAATTAATTGCTGTTGGCCAAATGGTGGTGTGTGAACTTAGCAGCTACATGTGACGTCTGTAACTCTCATGCTCCAAAAACATTTCTCCATGTTGAAGGAGGTGAAGACAAATATTCTGTTGTGGGGTGACATGTTCTAAATGTAAATAAACCAAACAGTAAAGAATCAGCTGTAATGAGTACATGCTACACTTACTTGGTTTGAGCCACTGTCTTGCCTGTTCTCCATCCAGAGGTGCATGCAGACAGCTAGGGAACAGGGCGTTGTCATGGCTGTGCACATTTTGGACGTGGTTGGCAACTGAAGTCCACTTTGCTACTGCCTCCTGTCCTGAGGAGGAACTGGATGCTGACCAGTAGAGGTGGTTCACCACACTTTGCTTCCACAGTCTCACATCCTGGGTCGTCTTTCTCTTCCCCAGCTCTTCGATTTTCTTACCAATTCCTGGAGAGCCAAATAGACCCACATTTAAAATAGAAAAAAAAAATCCTGTAATATTCACTATATACATCCCCAAAGAGTACCTTTCCCCATGTGCCAGGGGTCAAAGTAGTGACTGATTTCCTTTTTCCCTCCCGCAAATACTTCTGCACCCCTGTGTGGCGGTCAGTCACGACATGCTGCACATCGACCCCCCTCTCCAAAAGTGTGCTCAGACTTCTCACAAATCCCTCCTTCTCCATTCGCACACTATTTCCAACTTCATAGCTCTGAAAATAAACATAATTCTCCATTGATCTGTGAATAATTAACCATGAAATGCATTGGAATCATCAGGTAATGTTGTACCTGTACGAGTTAGATATCAATAACTTTGTTTTTTTGAGATCCATCATGGTGTAGCTGCCATATATGGCTGAGTGTCCTTCAGAAATACAAGTTATTGCTTAATTTACATTTGATAGCAAAGGAATAAAATAAATAAATTTAAACATATTCACCAGGTGAATCAGCTTGCATGTCACCACCAAGAGTCACAGGTCCAGATTCAGTAGCCTCCTGGATGAAATCAGCTTGCTCTAGCTGCCACTGCCAGCTCACTGTTGGAATTAAGAGCTTTGGCTGATGTCGATAGAATGTCTGCTTGGACAGTCCCTGCACATTGAAGGCACCCAGGAACTAAAATATGAAAAGTTACATCATGAAATGAGAGATGCACAAACTTTAAAACTAACCTAAACATTGTTGGCCTATACCTTAGAAATCTGGCTAAATGATGAGCCAGACTTTCTGGAAGATGAATTTCCGTCATGGTCCCTGTGTCACAAGACACACAGCAGCTGGGAGCTCTAAACTGGGTGGCTATATAAAAAACAAAGAAACAGCACATTTATAAATGTTTAAAAGAACACAAAATCACGTGTAACAATAATCTGCAAAACAAATTAAAACTAGAAGGTGATAATAAAATGTTTACATAGACGATTATTAAAAATAATTCACCTTTGCTACAGGTAAGGCTTCACGTCAGGCTGGACAAGTGCATTCTTGCAGACTACTAAATCAGTCTGAAAACCAGTGTCTTGGGTAGATTTAGCCTGAAAAAAAATAGAAGCACATTGTTGTTTATAAAGTCAGATAATATACAAAAGAAACTGTCCTATATAGGCGCTTTATAACATCCCTAGTGCGTGATCGTTATTATAACGTAAAAGTCAGTCACATATGATGTGGAGAGCCTGAAATGCGACCTCCTGAACAGAATTCCTTACAGAACCGGGTCACGCTGTGGTGTAAAGCTGGATTTCACACTGTATGATGTCTGTCAACTAGTGCTGCGTTAGAGTCACTGTTAGCAGAGTTACCGACTGACACAAAAACAACCCGAATTTTCTCCAAGCCTGACAGTAATAGTCAAGTGGACAGTTTCGTTGGCCAGGGCTTCGATATGTTCCGATTTGCCGCTGATCCCAACCTTACAGCCCGTTCCACATTTTGTGAACTTGACAAATCAGCCCGAAGGCAGTGCAGACTGACATTAGCTAAATGAAGTGAACCACGTCTCTCAAACTTTGCATTTAGGTAGGGTACTGAGCTGCAGTATTTCTGCAGTCAGGTCTCTCTCCGAGTCCGAGAGCTCCACAAGCGGTCAGCCCGCGCAGCAGCTAGGCGCCGCATCGGTCAGACATGCACCGGGCTGACCGCCGGGGAGAACCGAGTGGAAGAATGGAGCACAGAAGTGTCCCTCCAAGAGCTCCGTCATATTTCAACCCATTTTTATGTTAAATGCACTGGGTTTTACCCTTGAACCCATCGACATATGCCCTATTAATTATTTACCATATTTTACATCTAAATTTCATGGTTAAACAGTACATGCTACATGTTAAAATGATAGTTAGCTAGCTACTTCGATAAACTCAGCTAGTAAAAAGGCAGCAGTGACCTAAAATACATAAATATAATTAAACTTACCGAAAAAAAAGGAAGTGGAGACTCCTTGGACGCTCTATTAGTGCAATTAATACCATAGCAAGTCATTTTGTCCAACAATTGCACCAATAATATCCATTATTTATTTAGCAGACGCTTTTATCCAAAGCGACTTACGATTTATAACCTATAGGGCATGTTGTGATCTGTGGGGGAAACCGGAGTACCCGGAGGAAACCCACGCATGCATGGGGAGAACACGCAACTCCACGCAGAAAGGCCACAGCCGAGTGTCGAACCTGCAACCTTCGTGCTGCGAGGCAACAGTGCTAACCACTGCGCCACCATGCAACCTTATAGATTGTTCTCTGGGGACAAACAATATGCACCATTTCTTGGACCTAACAGTTTCTTGGACATCACAGCTGAGCTTCAGATGGCAGGTTTTGGAGTCTTTTATTTCCTGATATTTGAACATTTTCACCTGAGTGACTGATTATAATCAGAACTAATCATAAAAAATGGGTTTTCAGTGAACCACACCATTCATTTCTGGTGAATTTCCTATAGAGAAAATGCATGTCTTGTACCAGTATTTCTGGCTTCCAATTGTACAAATTATATATTTATTTTTAAAGAAATGTTTTGAAGAAAGCCTCATGATTTTGTACTGAGCTGTTTTTAATGCAGAAAATCTGATATAATGACTGATGTTATTCTGATTGAGCCTCCCCATGGCTTCGAGGGGCTCTCAAGTCTAACTTTCTCTTGCCTCCCAAAAACACCGCATCTTTCTAATTAGCCATGTGTGTTATATAAAATTAAGTTGCTTCAGTGAGAGCTGTTCTCCACTGTAATGACTACTCGGGGAAGTGAACGCTCAATGTGTCTTCAAAGCGCACGACTGGCACAATAAAACGATATCCCAGAGCGTATTACTCCCAGCTCATTAGCAAGAGCAGGCAGCTGGTTTTGGGGTAAATTGATACTAAGTGGTGGGATTAAGTCAAGTCTTTGTGACAAACTGACTTTAACTCTGATATTTGCAAATAATAACCTTAGAAAAATAAAAAGTAAAGTGAACATGTGAAACAAGCTTTTCATGTAACAGCAATTTTTACACGTTTGATGCACCGAGTGGAAATGAGCTCAAGCAGGTTACAAGTTTGGACAAAGTCAAAGTTTCTGATTTGCCTTTAGGGATCCAAACAATTTGTTTTATTACAGATGCCAGTTGAGAGAATGTTCCCTGGCTCTGCAGGTCTTTGAAGGTGTATTCCTGTCCTGATGGGGCAGCTTATCTTTTGTTTTAGGCTTTTCTGTGAGTGAAGTGTGATCCATGTGTTTGCATCCAGAGGGTTTTGTTTTGTTGTCTATTGTTTTACACACTGAAAGCCTGTAATTTGTTGCTGAGCAAGACTGACTCAAAGGCCAACATTTAGCACTCAGCAATAATGGTGCCATAATGGTACTTTTCCAGGCCCCTCAACCTGAGCTGTTAGCCAAACCACATTTGTTTTCTGCACAAACCCCCAAGATAAACAAAGAAGAATGTTTTCTTTTTAAACTACAATGTTCCTCTTATTTTCCTGGTTGTCAGCTCAACAAACTTCAAAGCACCAATCGGCAAAATGAGAGACACCGTTTCAAAAGTACCGTTGAGCATTTGACTAGGTCCAAGTCTGGTTTCACAAAGAGAAGTGCAAACCATGCCAGCACACACTGAGCAATAAATCTGTTGCACCACAGGAAATAATGCAGGTGTTCACTCGAGCTTCCCTGCCAGCTTTAGGTATGCATGACTTCACCTTTCTGTCAAAGTTAAGATGAAGCAGTAAATCCTTGCAAACCTTCACTATAGCGTTTGTTGCAGCATGCTAAAGGGAAAATAACTGGAACTCGTCTTCCTGTTTTGTAGGATTTGATAAAATGGTGTAGTTTTACATGTGGAACACAGTGTGTGGGCAGTTTTCAGAAGAAATACCATAACACCCAAACATATGCAGATCATTTGGCAACAGATTAATCAGAAATCACAAATTGGACACAAAACTATTGAAGCAATGATAATGCATTGTGAAACCCTACTTCTACCATAGTGAAAATCCCAAACGACTTGACTTGCTGCCAGTTTTCAGATCTTAATCTGAAATAAACTGTAGCTTCACCAAAGCAACTGGAATTAAAATGTGATTTTACTACCAGGAACTGCTCGGTGTGCAGGTGTATGCCCATGCTCCAAATGGCTGTGAGTTGCTCAGAGCAGCAATCAACCAGTGTGTTTTGACAGACATTAGGTTCATTAAAGAACACAGATGTGCGTTATGAAAAACATTTCTGCTAATGTGTCTTATCATTAGCTAAGCAGAGAAAGCAGGAGAGGAAACACTTTATGTGATTACTTCGTAATTTTCTGTGTCAGGACTGAAAGGGTGTTAATTCACAGATTTGTCAACACCGTTGTCTCTCCAGGTGCCATGTGTTGTGTCCATTCAGTAAAACGCTGTTGAGTCACACTTACAGCATGATAATGTCATTTCACCATGTTAACTGGAATCTGGGGCTTAAGGGTGAGTCTGTCGTTGGCTTAGCGTGACCAGTTACTGGTGTGAGAGGGTTCGCATCAGTCCAAGACCGAACCCTAGCCCTGACCAAGACCCAGACTCACCAACACCATAAACAGCAACAGAAATAAGCATTATTTAGGATGGTGAGGTTTTCCGGGCACGTCCAACTGGTAGGAGACCCAAGGGAAGACCCAGGACACGCTGGAGGGATTATGTCTCTCGGATGGCCAGGTAACACCTTGGGATTACCCTGGAGGAGCTGGCCCAAGTGGCTGGGAAAAAGGAAGTCTGGGCCTCTATAGGCTGCTGCCCCCGCGATCCGACTTTGGATAAGCGGAAGAGGATGGATGGATGGATGGTTGGATGGATGGATGGATGGATGGATGTCAAGCAAGAAATGCAGCAGATATATTGGTGTGGCCTAACCTTGTTCTGGATTTCTTTAATCACTTTATTGCTATTGCACAGGTGTACAACCAAAGATATTTTGTGCTTACTAAAGACAGCTCTAGTAAGAGGTAGAAAAATAAATGTAAAATAAATGCACCCACAGAGAGTTATCCAGTGTGATCTACAGCTATGTTAGCTGAGAACTTTTTCCTGTCAGTAGAAAATTCTTGATCTCATTCCATGATCTCACTGAACTTAACACTAAACATGTGAGCTCTGCTACTAACCTAACAACAACACCCTTTACACAAAGGCACCATCATCACATACGTGGCAGGAATCTCAGAGAAACTTAGAAGAATCTTCTCCAAACACAACATCCCGGTAAACTTTAAACCCAACAGCACCCTCAGACAGAACCTGGTCCATCCAGAAGACAAAACACCCAAACAGAAGCTCAATGGGGTCGTTTATGCAGTCCAGTGTAGTGAGGACTGTCCAGATATTTACATTAGAGAAACTAAACAACAATTACACAAGAACATAACACAACACAGGAGAGCCACCTCTTCAGGTCAAGACTCTGCAGTCCACCTTCACCTGAAGGACAAGGGACACCTTTGAAGACGACAAAGTCCACATTCTGGACAGAGAAGAAAGATGGTTTGAGAGAGGAGTAAAAGAAGCTATCTTTGTCAAAACGTGGAAACCCCACTTTAAATAGGGGCGGGGCTTAGATTTCACCTTTCCAGTACCAATAATGCAGCTTTGGTCAAGGTCAACGTCAATTTTATTTATAGAGCACATTTACAGCAGCAAAGCTACACCAAAGCGCTGTACAAGGTAAAACAAATCAAGATACAACAAATCAACAATAAAAACCTAAAATAAGATGAGCACACAACAGTCACAATCTATGATAAAAACTGTTAAAAACTATTAAGATGCTCAAGTCAACCTGCATTAAAAGCCAAATCAAAAAATTGCGTCCTAAGAAGGGATTTAAAATGCTCTAGACTCTGTGTGGTCCTGATGTTGAGAGGTAGCTTGTTCCACAGTTTGGGCCCAACCACAGAGAACGCTCTGTCGCCGCGAGTCTTGTGGCGGGTTTTTGGAACTGTTAAAAGAGCTTGAGAGCTGGACCTCATGGTTCTGGCAGGGACGTAAGCGGACTGCAGCTCAGAGATGTAAACTGGGGCCAGGCCATGAAGGGATTTAAAAACAAAAAGTAAAATTTTGAAACGGATCCTGTAAGAGACAGGAAGCCAATGGAGAGAGGCCAGAACCGGGGTTATGTGATCCCACTTGCTGGTTCCAGTCAGCAAGCGAGCCGCTGCATTTTGGACCAGCTGAAGTCGGTGTGGGGAGGACTGGTCCAGGCCAGAATACAGGGAGTTGCAGTAGTCCAATTGGCAAGACACAAACAGGTGGATGACATTCTTCAAAGACATTAGCAGGAAGGTATGACTTCACCTTTGCTATCTGCCTTAAATGATAAAAACCTGATTGGACCACTGCACTCACCTGTCTGTAAAGATTAAAAGAACCATCTAAAAACACACCAAGGTTTTTAACACCGGGTTTTAGAAAAACCAGAACAAGGACCAAGAGGACCAACAGCGTTGTTTAAAAGATTAGAACATTTTTTTGAATCTCATTCAGTTTCAGTCTAGGTCACATCTTCCTGCATCTAATCAACACGATGAATCACCATCAATAGAGGCTAACGACTCATCAGGAGATGGAGAGGCGGGGTACTCAGAGTAGTTTCTGCTCTTTAATTAACAACTGACAGCTACAGCTTATGAGCTTGACTCTCCCATATTCCAGTTAGAACTGACAAAGCTCCTCAGAGGAGAAGTGAAATGTTTTAAAGAAACCAAAGAAGTCCAGTTGCCTTCATCTGAACTCTTTGGAGTAATAGTCAATAATAAAAAATACATAATAAAGTAATAAAACGTAAATAATTATGCTCACATTCACTTTTACCATCTCTTTGTGGGAGGTGGAAAATTTATCACGTTTAACCCTCTTATGGCCATACATATAGCAAGTATTTTTTTTGTTTTATGGCTTTAAAATTGTAATAAAAGTGTAAAATGTTTGTAACTCTGCTCCTTTTTTCAGAACAACCTCAGCTTTCAGTGTCTGGTTTGTATTTGTGTTTATGTTTATTAAAGTCTGTAAAACTGCAGCTTAAATGAAAAAAAACAGATTTGAATTTTCTTTACATTTATTACTAAACAGGAACTTCTAAATGACGAGCAAACTATGTCAGAAGAACTACCGGTATTTAAACTCAGAACTGTGTTGCAAACACTCAGAAAACAGTGTGACCCCTGACCTCATGTTAACCAGTTTAATGACTGCAGCCTGTCTGTGACCACAGGTCTACGCTCTGGTCCAGAGAACGGGATACAGTAAAATAAATACTAGGTATCATAAAATAACACTCATGGGCTACTTCACAACTGTAGCTACATTTCTACCAGCATTATGAAGATCAATAAGCAGATAAAAGGTTAAATGTAAACATTTCATTACAAAAAGTCAACTAATAAAATTCTGCACTGATAAAATGATATTTTCAGCTAAATAAATATTTATTGTATGTTTAAATAATGCTGGAATGAAGCTGAATCATTTAGTAAACAGTTGTGTGTTCAAATAAAAACCAGTGTGACTGTAATCTGTCCCTCCTCATGTCACCATCTACAGAAACAGCCTTCTGGGACACCTGACCAACCAGGTGCATTTTATTTGTGACGTTTCCATAACTTTATAAAAGCTGCTGATGAAGATGATCAGATCATCTCCTCCTTTAATTGGTTCTCGCTCTCCCGTCGCGGTCCGCTCCGTTTCTTCCTGTGACGCTGCTAAGCTGGTTTCCCTCTAATAGCGATTTTTGGAGTAACATGAATTACATCATGCAATACCTCGTTGGAAAGCTCGTTTTATGTACTTTTAGAAACCGTTTGAAGTATTTTTATTCAACTAGTAATTCAGAAGTTATGACCCAGAGAATCTAGAGTGAGACACATCCGTGATTCTTTGAGAGTTTCTGCAACACTTCAGGAGAACTCTCTCTCATGTCTCATTTTCTGTCCCAGACATGCAGCTACCCGACTCTGCTCCACACACACTAACCACGGACTCAAACACGTGTAAACAAAAGCTCTGATATTAAAATCTATCCAGCTGACGTGAAGCAGGCAGAAAAAAAACGTACAGTTAGATGAACGCAGACTCCTGTCCGCAGGGAAAACACCGGTCTGTCGTCTCTATGGCTACAAGGTAGAGCGACAGCAAGGACAACCAATCACACGTTAGTATGATGCGGCAGAGCCAATCAGTGAGCTTGTAGGTGGGTCTAAGGGAAAATAGCCTTCAGTTTGAGGCGGCTGCCTCCACATGGTCCTAGTGCCCGATTTGTATCACAGTATAACCGTTTTGTACGGTAAAATCTGACGAACGACCGGAAAAAGGGCACTTTGGGCACTTCGGACAAAAGGGGCAGGGTCTCAAGCACCCTTTGCACCCCCCCCCCCCCCCTGCACGTGCCTGCCCCTCTGTGCTTCATTTAAGTGTCAATCATGGAAACAATCCAAACAAACATATAATCTCTCACTTCACTTTAGGATCCTGGAGATGTATTTACTTCCTCATGCCTCACATCACACAGCCCTGAAAAACCTTTCAAGGATTTCTCTCTCACTCCTTCTCCTGCTAAACTCACTCCACTGTTCTTTACTTTGCTTGTTTAGACGTCTACAGTAATGGAACATTTTTAGCTCGCTGCTTGGTAGAATTTGTCTGTCCTTGTTTGCATTTTAGACCCATTCAGCACCTCTTTTATTCCTTCTCTCTGGTGTGAGAACATTTATTGGATTTGAAGAGTGTATTCATTCCTCCCGTGGCAACAGAGCTCATTCCTTACCAGTTGAAAAGAAGCTCTGGAAGAACGTTCAAGTGTTCCTCCCCACACATCATCCCTCGGGTTTCTTTACAGTTGCAGCCACTAAATCTGTTCTGTAAAGCTTACATAACCCAACCCCTGACCATGACGCCATGCGCCATCAAACCCACGAGGGTGCACAGTGTGTGAATGAGATTTCAGAGAGGAGACGGTGAATATGTTTGACCTTTTGTGAGGCGACTGGCGGGCCTGTGTTCAGACTGCGATGGGACATTAACCTTATCTCAGCGTTGCATAATAGCCTACTGCTGGCTGGACAGATCCTACAGCTAAAGGTTCAATGGCTGCTGATGTTTTTTTTTCTCTGGGAGCACTTTATGACTCTGCATGGCCCTATCAAAACTCTGATTAAAGGATTAGCTCAGATCTTCTGAAGTGGGTTTCAGCAGAAAGGCTAGAAGCAACTGTTGTAGATAGCTCCTTGAGCAACCTTGGTTAGGAGAAATGGGGATTAGTTTTAGAATTGACACCAGTGCAGGGTTTGGGGCCACAAAGAGCAGGCCAGCGGGTCATGTGCGGCCCACCCCCATCAAATCAAATCAAATCAAATCAAAGCTTTATTTATAAAGCACCTTCTGCAACCCTGTCAGGAAGCCCAAGGCGCTGAACATGGAACAGTACAAAGTTAAATAAAGTGAATAAATCATAAAATAAAAGCAATTCAAATTACAGATTACAAATTACAAAAAAGGTGAAACATTCTAGTAGAAGACAAATGTGTAAAACAAGGGAAAAAGTGAACTAATGAAAACTGTGAGATAAAGTCAACATAAAAGAGGGCCAAATTCAAACATGTTCAGGAAACGCCAAGCGGAGGAGGTGGGTTTTTAGGCGACTCTTGAAGACTGGCAGAGATGGGGACAGCCTAACTGAGGGTGGCAACTGGTTCCATAGTGACGGTGCTAGGACTGAGAAAGCCCGGTCCCCGCGAGTACAACACCTAGACCGAGGGACAACGAGCAGGCCTTGGTCAGAGGAGCACAGAGCGCGTGATGGGGAATGTCTGTTCAGGAGCGTGGCTAGATAGGGGGGAGCACCACCCTGGAAGAAATTAAAAACAATGATGAGGAGTCTGAAGTGTGAACGATAGCAAACCGGAAGCCAGTGCAGGGAGGCCAGAACCGGAATGATGTGGTCCCGTTTCCTGGTCACAGTCAGGAACCTGGCTGCGCTGCCCATGGTCCCACGGGCCGCCTATTAAAATGAGGGTCAATGCCTGGGTAGAGATGTATGTCATCCACACTTCCTGTTAGGAAAATGTTAGGTAATTAAATGTGGGGTAATAACCCTGGAACCTGAAATAACACTCATGACAACAAGGAAGACATTTTACCCTGAGTCCCCAAAATAATGGAAAGTTAATGGAGAGGAACCTCCTCCGAGGCTGTCCCCCACGTTACTCCCAAGTCTCCTCAGTTTCCCAGGGGCTTTATTCAGCAAAGGATGGGGGAGAAAGCGGGGCCTTCTCAGGTTACAGAGGTACAGTTTTCAGTTGGAAACCCACAATCAACATCCTTGCTCAACCTTTCATGAACAGCCACAGTTGGCAAACACAGAGATTCATGAAGTGTTAACACAAAATGGGCATCTTTTAGGCCTCAAAAAGGTACAATTATAAAAATACCCAACAGAAAATGCTTCTGAAAGAGGCGTCGCCTGGTGGACCGAGAGAGCAACACTGAGGCAGTGGTAGACCGCACCCCCCTCAACTCCCCCGCGGGTGCTGTCGGAATTTCTCAATCTAAAAACAAGACTTACCGTTCAGGGGAAAGGCAGACATAGATTCTGCAGCATTCTGGGGGATTTCCTGTTAAATGCGATCACTGGATGAAAAAAGCGAGGAGGGCTTTCTTTTTTCCAAGGAGGCGAGCGGCTCAGAGAGCCAGTGCACCATATCAGCAGGTGAGTGGCTGTCTCACCTGGAGACCAGTGCGGTGCAACCACATAGTACTTTGCTGACAACGTCACGATTTTCAGCTTAGCCATCAGCCACTGTCATGGTCTGCATCTGCGTCTCCCCTCATGTGTCTCCTTGTTTTCTCCATCCCTCTCTAGGTTCGCCTTTGTGTCTCCTAGCACCCTCATGTGTCCTGGTCTGTGTCTCATTTATGTGTCTCTTTGTGTTCTTCATGTGTCCCCTGTTTGCAGCCCTCCAGAGCATTCTTCCCAGGGCCTGTGTCCTTGTAGCTCCAGCCTTTTTGTCCCCAGCTCCCTCCTGGTTTTCTTCATGTCTCTTAGTCTCCCCACCTTAGTTTCTATAGGTCTTTTATTTCAGTTGTGTGTGTGTGTGTGTGTGTGTGTGTGTGTGTGTGTGTGTGTGTGTGTGTGTGTGTGTGTGTGTGTGTGTGTGTGTGTGTGTGTGTGTGTGTGTGTGTGTGTGTGACCTTCCCCAGTCAGGTCTGGTGTCCTCCCCTGCTCCTTTCTGCTCCTCCTCTCAGTTATTGTTTTCACCTGTGCCAGTTCTCCACACACCTGCTCCTCGTCTCCTTTCACTCCAGCCCCAGTGTATAAAACCCTGTCCTTGTCTCAATGTTGTGTCAGTCCATTGTGCTTCTGTCACTCTCTTCCCGTGTTATCTCAAGTGTTTCCAGTGCTTCCAGTGTCTCTTAGTCTCTAGTGTGTTTGGATCTCCAGCTCAGCTTTTTGGATATTTTGGTTTTTGGCTCCAGCCCTGTTGGATTTATTTTTGGTTCATCCTAAATAAAAGGATTTTACTTTATCTCCACTTCTGCCTCGTGTCATCCTGGGTTCTGCATTTTGGGTCCTAACCTCCTTCTTGCTCGTATCGTGACAGCCACAGCTGATTCTACATAAATGTGGAGCAGAGTTTTAACCTGAAGATGGAGACAGAATTATGGTTTTGGGCTGAAATAATAAATTTAGAGTAAGTAGCACTAAACTGCCACACTAATGATTACACTTGTGTACAGCACCATTAGACACTCATCGATACTTATCAGCAAAAAAAGTTCATTTAGGTGTTACTTGCTCTTTAAGGACCACTGCCCTAGATGATCCGCGTCATAACTTCTGAATAGCTGATCGAATTTAAATTGTAGCATCATGAATGTCCTGTTTTTGACCTAATGATCTGCTGCGTCTGTTCGAGTGGAGACATAAAGTCTCTGACAGGCTAATTACATGAGATAGTGGCAAAGGTCTTTCATGCACTCTGCTCTTCTGAACTGCTTCACCTTTTACAGCTCAAGACGAAGAACTATTTTGATAAACACAACAATCAACAACTTTGTTATTACCAATAATAATGTGAGCCCAATGTTCAATCAATCTGTGAAATGACAATGTTATTACTTGATATTATAATCCTGTGATCAGTAGAATTTTACAAGTTATTATAATCTTGGACATTTGCACTACGCACTAATGACACGTAATGCTAAAGTCACACGACACATTTCCTTTTGTCTGACCCAATCAGAACCTTCGTTTCTGATGCGAGGCGTGGTTTTCTGTGGTGTTTGTATAAATTCTCTTTTGCATGTCAAATTCTGTTTTGACAGTAAACCAAAATATGACAATTATAAAAACTATCCCACGCCACCTTTAGTTCAGTTCAAAGTCTTGCTCCATGGTCTCACCGAACTCCTCCCATGCCTGGGTTTTTGCCTTGGCGACCACCCGAGCCGCATTCCGCTTGGACTGCTGGTATCCGTCAGCTGCCTCTGGAGTCCCACAGGCCAAAAAGACCTAATAGGACTCTTTCTTCAGCTTGACTGCATCCCTAACCGCCGGTGTCCACCAGTGGGTTCAGGGGTTGCCACCACGACAGGCACCGACGATCCTGCGACCACCCATTCAGACTTAATGGGTGTGTCCAAATCCACGGTAAGGATGCTTGTAAGAGTGAGGTTGATGACGTCACAGCGCAGCGACGAGTACTGTCCGAATTCCAAGAATACTCATTCTCGCTTCCTCAGATGCGTCCTTGCTCCGCCCACATTTTGAGGACGGGTCTGTTGTATCCTCACAGAACAAGGCTATCCCAGCATGCTTTGCGCGCCGGCTGTGGATTTTCAACAGGCAGAGAAAATGGGGAGAGCTACGAAGTTTTAAACGTAAGTTTGTTAAAAACTAGCCGTAGAAACCTAAAAAGCTTAAAGCGGTTCAGTTTATAGACATTTTTCGTTTGTATATTTGTTTTTTAAATTACATTTTAGGCAGAAATCAGCCAGAACGAGTTTGTATCGCGGATCCCAGTTATTCCCGTGTGTGTGTGTGTGTGTGTGTGTGTGTGTGTGTGTGTGTGTGTGCGTGTGTGTGGTGAATTAAACTTGTCATTTGTTTTAAGGACAACGGAGCAAAGAAGCGTTTTTATTAAGCTTAGAGGTGAAGAGTGAAGCTGTTTACACACACAACCACAGAAGTTCTTCTGTGAAAAGTAGTTTTACATTCAGGGATTTACACAGTTGACACGTTTTAATGAAGTAAAAAGTTTGTGTGAAGAATATAATTTTTATCTTCTCATGTGGATGAATGTAAAAATGTGTTTATT